GAGAAGATGACGAGAAAAGATATGAACTTTCGAATCCCGTCTTGATGGGCCATGATGTAAGCGACGAACAGTCACTGAGACACCCGACTATGACATAAGCAACAAATGGTGCCAAAATGTCCCGTCGGTCCAGCTACCAAACAATTAAATGCCTATCAGTTGCTTGTCGGCCACTATGGGTTTTGAACCATCACCAGCAAGCTATAAGTACCCTAACTTTCATTTATTCAAATTTTACATTCAAAGCTCCTCCTATTCTTGTTTTTTCAAAAATCCTTTTGTTTTGGAACTCTTGCACCCAAATTTCTTGAGCTTTCAACAAAACCGCATACCATCTAATTCCCTTTTCTTCTGTTCTAAAATGGCGTACCTTCTAAGAATGTACCGCAAAAGGAGGCGCCTCTTCATCACGACCTGTCAGCGATGGGGCTGTGGCAGAACCTCACCCTGAGAATTCATTCCAGCAGGGTGCCCTACGGTTGCCGATTTTAAGGTTGAAAAGACCTCCTTGGTAACGGGTTGATGTGAGCCGGTCTCGAGGTACATATGTACAATTATCGACGATCTCCTCACCAAGGTTAAAGAGGATTGCAACTGGGTCAATAAGCATGTGGTGGTACCTTCGCCCGAGGAATCAATCACTACCCACGTGGAGGGTTTTCTAAGTGTTTACACTTACCCCTTCACGTTGGGTCCCTTACACCCTATCATCATTGCCTTCTACAAGAGGTATGATGTGACTCTTGGCCAGATCCACCCTTCCTTCTGGATAATAGTGATTCTCCTCTGATTTTTCATAAGCAAAATCGAGGGATGTCCCTTTATCCTCGATCACCTTATGCGCCTCTACAATCCCCGACTCTATCGAGGGGGGCTGATGAAGCTTGCTCGCCGGGCCAGTAAGGCCCCGTTCTCAAGTATAGACGAGGATCGAGACCGAGGTTAGATGGGCCGATTTGTTCGAGTAAAGACTTCGGACTTGATTCATGCCGAAGACATGTCATTTCCAGAGAAATGGAACATGAAACGTAAGTAGTACATCGTTTTGAAGGTTCAATCTTGTTATTTAACCTCTTATCTCCTTCCTTATCGATGTTTTTGGTGTTGCAGCTGTGTCCCAGGTGCCGGACGTAGTTCCTGAACTCAAGGAATGGGTCGAGGGCCTTGTGTCACAGAGACCATATTTCGAGCGTGCTTGGATGGAATTATCGAAGGGTTGATGGGAGGCCCGTAATCATGGTAAGTTTTCTCTTTTGATGTAATAATGTTTAATTCCCTCCTCGTGTAGCCGAATTCTAATCATTCTATTTTCTTTTGTAGGTCTCCCCAAAGATGTTTCCATGAGGCCTCCATCCGGTGAGGAGGATGTGCTTCTCGAGTCCGCTGCTCCAAAGCAGGGTGATGAAAAGAAGAGGAAAAGGGCCCCAAGTTCCCCGAACTTGGAAAAGAAGAAACCAAAGAAGAGGTCGCGCAAGCCCAAGGGAAGCACTGGCACTCTATCCTCTGACTCAATCCGCCGATTAAGGGACGAGTCTGAAGAAGAAGGGTCCTATGAACCAGCGAAAGCCGAAATCGGACCGTCCCGACATGAGCAGGTCGATGAGGGAGTCTTAGTCGAAGCTCCCAAACCAGAAGGGGGTTGAGGCCACTCCGCCCCAAGCTAAGGGGGTCGAAAGAGAGACCGGGGGTGACACTTCTTTAGCAGAGGAAGGTACCCCGAGAGACGAGTTTGGGGCGATGACATTATCGGGTCCCCTCAGAATTCAGATGCCATGATTCACAAGGCCGGTATTTTAGAACGTCGTTCCTATGAGGACCTCAGGGGGCAACTGATATCCACCACTTCTTGGACGGATTCGAGTCCACTGCTTCGGAAGATGTCACCGGGCTTGGTGACTTGCCGGTGCCAAGGAAGGTACCGTCATCGGGTTCCACTGGGTCTTTATCGAGCCCAAAACTGGTGGATTTATTCTCGGCCCCAAGAGTTAACCCTAACCATAGGCAGTCGATAATTTTTCTATCCCGGAGGATGCCCAGATTTTCTCGGCCCCCGTAGGGGTTGCTAGCTACCTCGGTTGTCTGTTGACCGAGGAGGACCAGGCCGTGATGGACCTGGTGGAAGTGCCTTGCCTATTTGACGAGGCCCAACATGCTTTGAATCGGGCAACTTCGAGTGTCACTTCATTACTTATTTTAAATTTGAAGTTGTAAATAATCCTAACACCTTTTATTGTTCTTGCAGGCCTCGGTATTGCATCATGTGGCTTTTCTCCGAATTCGGGAGGACTTAACACAGCATGAGGTTGAGGGTCGGGAGCTCACGAAAAAGAGGGATACTTACAAGCTTCTGAGTAAGAAGCTCCATACCTAGTTAGAAGCGGCTCGGAATGAGCATGCCAAGATGGTCGAGCAGGTTGTTTGCGTGCTTCACGATAGTGAAGAAGAATTAAAGATAGTGACTAACGATCTGATCCTGCATGTCCGGCAAAGGCTTGAACAGATCGGGGAGCTTCAGGCACAGGTGGATATGATTCAAGCTGAGTCTTCACGGTCCCATTTCATCAACATAGTCAGAAGCAATGGATGTTGTAAACGGCTGAGGAGTTCAAGAAAAATATGGACATCTTAGCCTCGAAAAGGGAAGCTACCCAAGCACAACTGGAGTCGGCCGAGACCCAGCTCCAAGCTTCAAAGGAGAAGGCCTCGGTGCAGGTCAAGAAAATCGAGGAGCTTCAATCCCAATTGGACTTGGCTATTTCTGATAAGGCAAACTTGGCCAATGAACTCGAGGCGGCCAAATCTGAGGTGGCCATGGCCAATACCAAAGTCGACGCTAAAGTGGCCCAATTCAAGGTTGACGTCGAGGCCATCCAGGTGCAGGCCGAAAGCATGGTGGATCATGCAAGGTGGCAAGCTCGAAGAGAATCCCTCGAGGGAGTCCATGCTCAGGACTTCGATATACTGGCTGAAATCGAGAACACCAAAGCAGAAGAAGACAGGGCCTGAAAGCTGGCCTTTCCCGAGGAAGATTGTAAGAGTTTAAACGAGTCTGAAGGTGGGGAAGATCCCGAGGGCGGAGATGCTGCCTCCGATGAAGAACAGGCCACTTAGGTCTTTATATTTTTTGCTTTCTTTTGCTTCTTTTTGAGGTCGTTTCGGCAATTGTAAATTTTGAATTAAGCCATTATGGCCTCTGTAAAAAGATTATTGGGTAAATATATACAAGGCATTCTTTTCCCTTTTGGCTTTCAAATTTTTCCTTTGCTTTATTACTTGTATTCATAAAGGTCGGAATGACTTAGCATAAAATAACTTAGGTTGGAGGTTCGGTGTTACTGGGAACCATCTCCCAGGGTAAGTAACTTAGATTATAGTTTGCCAGGGGTAGCCTTTAGAACCGGTTACAAAATTATCGAAGGCCTATTTCTTGTTACTGTTCTCGAACGTCTCCGAGCCGTGTTAATATGGTCGTAGCCTTTTAATTCGGGTGTAACCCAGTGAGCTTGCTTACCTGAGTTATCCAGGCTTGCCTAAGATAACAGTCCCTGAGTGGGTATGGCCGTGGCCTTTAGAATTCGGGGGTTGCCTAAGAGGTCTTATGCCCCCGATGTTTAATAGTTCGATCTGTTCGAGTTTTTTTTTCGGACGGCAGTCCCCGAGTGAGGGAGTGATCATCGTAGCTCTAGTTATAATCGGCCCTTGAGCTCGTTTCCTTAAGAGATTGAAAGTACGAAATTGTAAAGAGGAAATTTTTCTAAGAAATAAGATAATTGCAAGGAAAGTATTTCTCTTTATTCTTGTGAAAATAGTTATACATGCGTACATGTTTTATGCCAGGGCTCGAGCAACCTATGTGGGCACAGTTCTTATGACCGTTTGGCCCTTACAACAAATCTTACCTATCGAGACCATTCTATTATGAAGTAAATTCCTCACAAAAATCGATATCCAAGGGTAATGCCCCCAGTATTCGAGGTTGATTGTAGAGGAACCTCGGATACTGTTAGTGCTATCTTCGACACTGATTCGTGATTGTCCTTTGATTCTAAGTTGCCACGATCCATTATTGCCTCGTTAAAAACCTTGCCGAAAAACCCAATTGGGACAAAAACGGTTCAAGGGAAAAAGAGTGCAACGCATGCTTTCAGACCTAAAGACTTTGTGCCGCTCCTTGTCGACCACCTGCAAGTGTTAGTCCGAAAATAAAAAGAAATGAAATGGGGTCGTACCTTAGAAGTAATATCGTTTTAGGTGAGTTACGTCCCAATTGTTCGCTAGTTGCTCCCCGTTTGTCATTTCGAGCTTGTAGGGTCCTTTCCCTGTGGCCTCGAGAATATGGTATGGTCCTTCTCAGTTCGGACCCAATTTCCCTTCGTTCGGATTCTGGGTGCTTAGTGTGACCTTCCTTAGCACTAAGTCCCCGACTTGAAGTATCGAAGGTTGGCTCTTCGATTGTAATACCTCTCGATACATTGCTTTTGGGTGGCCAATCAAACAAGGGCGACTTCACGCCTTTCATCCAATAGCTTCGGGCTCGTATTCATGGCCTCATCATTTGATTCCTTTGTTGCATATCGAAATCTGATACTCGGCTCCCCGACTTTGACCGGTATTAGAGCTTCGGTGCCATAAACCAATGAGAACGGGGTAGCCCTGGTACTGGACTTCGAGGTTGTGCGATATGCCCTTCGTGGCCCCTAAAATATCTCTAGCAGCTTCCCTAATACAATCTAATGTTGTGGTCCACATCCTAGTCACGTACCATCTACTCCTCCATCCCCTTATAGCCAATAACATCTCCCTTACTCCTGGGCTTTATCCTTAGTCAAGTTACCCCACTTGATCCCAGGTTGCCTGCACACTGCCCTCTTCCTCCTACTCCTTTTGATCTCCAGGTCCATAACCAGAAGCCTATGTTGGGTCGTTAGGTTCTCACTCAGGATGACCTTACAATCAATGCATAGAGATTTATCCCATTTCATATAGAGAAGGTAATCAATCTAGGTTTTGGCCACTGTACTCCGAAAGGTGACCAGGTGCTCCTCCCTCTTCGGGAAACTCGAGTTGGCTACCACCAAGTCAAAAGCATTAGTGAAATCCAATAGTGAGATATCTTCCTCATTTCTAACCCCAAATCCATACCCACCATGCACACCATCATAGCCTCTAGCATTAGCCCCAATATGGACATTGAAGTCCCCTCCAATGAAAAGCTTCTTAGAGTGTAGGATACTATGCACCACCTTGTCCAAATCGTCCCAGAATCGCCTCTTGACCTCCTGATCCAATCCTACCTGAGGGGCGTACGCGCTAACCACATTTACAGTAAACCCTCCAACTACAACCTTAATACTCATCAACCTATCATTTACCCTCCTAACCTCTACCACCAACTCCCTGAGTTCCCTGTCAACTAAAATACCTACCTTGTTCTTTCCCCCAACTCGTCCTGAGCACCACAGTTATACCCTTCTACATTACGTGCCTTAGTACCTACCCGTCTAGTATCCTGGACACATGCTATATTGAACTTCCTCTTCTGGAGAATCTTACCTAACTCTATGGACTTCCCCGTCAATGTCCCTATGTTCCAAGATCCAACTCTCAACCTAGAAGCACCCTTAACCCCCTTCCCCCTTGCTCCCTGCCCCCCGCCCCACCCAAGGACATGACCTTGCTCTCACATCGTTCACCACAGCCACTATAGTCCAAGGAGTATTAATTAAACACTATTACTAAAAAGCAAAGAGCGACAACAAATTAATATAAGTTAAGAGGCCAAAGGGAAGGCTTAAAAGCTCAAATAGCGAGTACCGAAAAGCAAACAAGTGTTGTCTACCTAGAGCAGTCAATCCAACTACAAGTATCATAATCAAAGATTGCCGGCGTAGGCAAATAGAACACAAGAAATATATAACAAATCTTGAAGAGCACAACAAGGAGCAAAATACACGCAACTAACAAGGAAGGACAAACAATGAACACGATACATACAAATAGGATACACATAACTAATATCAAAGAACTAATATGCAATGTAAAAAAGAGCTGGAACGTTAGAACCTGGTTTTAAAGTCGAGGAATTTAGTCGTCGGAGACAAAGCAGCTTGTCAGAAACTGCTCGTAGTTGTTGGATCGCATCGGAACTACATATGGGATAACTAGTGTTGCCACCCACGCACTTGCCATGAAAAAAAACAAGATCAAAAGGAAGAAAAAGAGGGGTCAAAGGACCAGCTTTTACCTATTGAGATACGGCTACCAGGAGAGAGAAAGAGAGGGGTTAAGAGTGAGAAGTGAGAAAGGGGGGAGAGAGATGGGGAGAGAGAGAGAGAAGCGAGCAAGAGCTGTCATCGGCGATGGAACGACTGCTCCTTCTTCAGCTGCCTAGGGTTCAAAGAGGGGAGAGAAAAGAGAAGAAATAGTGGAGAAGATAATAGAGAGGGAAACGAGAGAGGGAGAGAGAAAGGAGAGAGAAGAGAATTGGGGCTACATGTTGTTGTCATCGGATTTCAGTCGGGCAGGGCTGCTCTTTTTCCGGCTACTGTGGGTTCCGAAAGAAAGGGGAGAGGAGACAGAGGAGGGATGGGAGAGAGAGGGAGGAGAGAATGAGGAGGATAAATGGATTTACTTGTTGCTGCTGTTGGAGACCCGCGGGGACGGCCGTGAACAGCAGTGACTGTTGGGCAGGGTTTTTCGAAGAGAGAGAGTGTGATAAGACATTTTTGGGAGGGCCGTTCAAATGGCTACTTAATAACTATTCCTTATTCACATACTTGCTAGTAACTATATTTAAGCTTTGTTGAGATATTAGGACATTATTGTTCTTGAAATGTTGGCTTATCTATTGGTGCAAAGGTCATGATTATCTCTTACACTGTGTGTTATGCTTAATCACTCTTGTTAATGTTATTTATACTTCTCACCTTTCTTGGTATTAATTTATATATGCTTGTTAAGGATGAATTATTGTGCACAGCGTGTGTTTCCATGCTGCGAAGATGAGTGATTATGCACGACAGGTGTTTCCACGCTTTGAGATTGAGAGATATTGTACAATGGATGTTTTCATACGGTAAGGATGAGTGATATATGCACGATAGGTGTTTCCATGGTATTTTATATGATATCATTACTCATTGGACTCGGGCTATGTTGTTTCATGATTATCATTTTATTCTTTTGGATTTGAGTTGTGAAAACGGGTTTGGTTGTGAGATTGGGAAGCATGATGGTTATATCCTTTAGTTGCTTATTTTACTTTTCTCGTATTTACTCTAATTATTTTTCTCATTATTTATCTTGTTATGTTATTGTTCATTCTATTGCTTATTAACTACACAGGTCTATAATGTAGGTATTTATCTTAGCCTCGTCACTACCTTGTCGAAGTTACGCTCGACACTTACTGAGTATCTTAGGTCACTTGTACTCATACTACACTTCTTCACTTCTTGTGCAGATTCAAGCTTTGGTACAAGCGAAGTCCTAAGAGGTATTTAGCCGTTTACTAGTCAAGAGACTCGACGTAGTGTTGCATACTCGTTCGCAAGCCTTGAAGTATCCTATCCATTATCTCTATTACTGTTTATTGTATTAGACCATATTATATTCTTTTCAGACATTGTATTTAGCATTCTTTAGAGCTCATGTACTCAGTACACCAGTCTTGGGAGGTTGTTATATCAGATGTGATGGTTTTAGACTTATTATGTCGTTATAGGAGCTTTTACTCTTTATCTATGATAAAATGCTACTAAATGTTTAGTATTGCTTTTTTATTTAATGGTATGTGTTGGCTTGCCTAGCAAGGATTATGTGCCATCACGATCCTTTGATTGGGATTTTGGGTCGTGACATAATTCTTAAAAAGACTTAGTCTTGATCCCTTGTATGGTATAACGAAGTCCACAGCACATTCCTTGGATACACATTTCTATTTCAGAAGCTTCATTAAGTCTGTCTTTGCTTATGAGTCTTGCATTCCACCATCGATTGATGAAATCAATGACCCATTAGTCCTTTAATTAAGTGTATTATGAGTTCAACCATATTCAAAGTGCACATTGTGTTATAGAAGCGGTTGAGAAATTTATGTTCAAGTTGCTCCCAGCTATTAACTAAATCAGGCTCGGCATTTCCTTTTAAGGAGCGGACGAACTAGTACTTGATAAGATAATCTCGATAAGTCCCAGCAGAGTTGCATGTTTTAACGAAGTGCACCATATGTTGTTTAGAATTACCTTTCATTCAAACTATTGAAACTTCAGAGGTTGATAGCCATCCGGCATCTTCAAGCTATCAATTCTTGAAGTGTATGGTTTTGCATACGCAAAGGAAAACTTGGCAGCAACTTTGTACGTATCTTTGATTTTTCCCTCAATGAACTCCTCCAACCGGTCAATAGCAATCAAGCATTCAGATGATACTTGATGATCCTTAGCAAGAGGCACTTGCCTTGTAGATAAGTCTCCTTTATCTTGCACCTCAAGAAGCTTTCCGGGTGCATGACTTGTATCTCCCTCCATCGTGGTTTCAACTCTATCTACTGTCTTGATAATCCGATTATCCCGATCTTGCACATTCTTCGTCAAGCCTTTAATTACTTTCTTCAATAATTACAAGTTGCTCTTCAATAGTTAAAGTGTTAGTTATTGTTGGTTGGATGGCCGTCGTGGATGATAGAGCAAAGAATGAATTTTTTCTTACCGTACAGTGAGTGAGCAACTCGCGTGGAGTGATTGGGACAGATCTGGTGTTCAAGGCATCATCGTCATCTATGCAATGGTATCCTTAGATCTTAGATGGGCTAAGTAGAGCTAACGTCTTTTTGACCATTTTAACAATGTTCTCTCCTTCTTCCAATTCATTTAAGAAGGATCTTTCCCCTTTTAAAGTTTGTGAACCAAAGACAAGAAATGATGCGTACGACACTTGAAATGTTTGTTGTCCCAACAAGCTTGCTTTGTTCCTGGAGATAGGTCTTAGACTTAGTTGCCTCCAGCACGCTTTCACGTCAGAGAAAAACTTGGAATCAATAGCCTTAGTAGTAGCAAATCTGGAGATGACTTCGTATGAGCCATTTCTTGAATTTTGAAGGTTGCAGAGAAGAGATGAAAGGCAGAGATGGTCCCATTGGACGTACTAGAAATTTGTGTCTACTTCTCATCATTTTTATTCAAGTCAAGAAGAAGGTTACAAATTACAAAATATAATATGAAGAGTTGACTTGGATTGCAATCTCCAAAATGCTACTAAATCTGCAAATGACGTCCTCTAATTCTTCTACTCACAAACATCACTTCAAGAGCTCTTGGCTTGTTCTTGAAAAGACAAAAGTCGCAAGTAGTTTGATGGTTGTTTACAAACCAAGATTTGAGATTTGGCTGCCACGAACGAAAGATTTGGAGACGCCCTCTTAGATTCTTGACTTGCACTTTTGTTGTTGGATTGGATCACGAACGAAAAAGCAATGTAGAGAAGACTTTAAATGTTTGCTTCATAGCTTCTCCAGCTTTCCTCTAACTTGCTTGATGTATTACTCATGTCCCTTTGGCCTTATGGGAACTCTCTATTTATAATGGTAGAATAGAAGAGTTGTGATAAAGTCAAAATTATTTGCTTGTAGTTTGATTTATCCATTTGCATTATGAAGCAATCTCATGTGTCTACACTTGGCGTGCTTGGATTGGCAAGTTACTTGATTTGGTATGCCACATCACTTACCATATAGCAAGCTTCTATTGGCCATACCACATAATTTGATATGTGGCATTAGCTTGGGCTTCAAGATCAACTAGTTGCCACTTGGTCCTTGAGCTAGTGAAATGAGCTCATATTCTGAAGTCCAACTAAATGGGCTAGCTTGGATAAAGTTAACTAAATTCATGTTGTACTTAAATAATTAACCTTGATTTGGGTTTAGTATTTCTTGAACTTGAGAACTTATTCAAATTTAATATGAAGTTCAATCCATAAAAAATTGTATGTCTACGGTTTGACAACAAAAATTTGGATAAACGAACAACCTATTTGCGGCTTATACAAAGTTGACGCATCGAAACATATCTGCACACTAGTTAAAGATTTCCTCGGCTTATAGTTTGATGGAAAAATCAAATAAATGGACTTGCATTATCTAATAATTTACATGTTAATATGGATTTCAGTCAGCATCTCTTTTACATCTATCAAAAAGATGGTTCCCCTCCAAGGATCTACTATTTCCTTCTGAGGACCCAGAAAGGAAGGACAAAATTGCACACATGTACAATTTCTATAATAAATAATAGAAAAGGATAAAAATATTTACCCCTACCCCCCTTCCACCATGTTTTATCTCACTAAACAATCTAACCTAAAAGTTTTTCCCCTCCATGATTGATCTCATTAAACATTGGAACCTGAAAGCTGTCCGAGCTTGTGATTCTCATACGTGCGGGATCCAGATTATAATCCACGGAAATTTGTCCTCCATGGTGCATGGAAGAGGTAGATGAATTTAACTCCATAAAGCACCGTTCCTAATGAAATCCAATTGGATATTTTATCCTGTACAAAGTTTCTGATGTTGAAATTGTGAACCAGCACCTGCTTTCACATGATAAGCACAAAGCAATAATCAGGCACAGTGTAAATAAATAGAGCAAGATTAAAGATTTAAGAGGTATCAATTGTCTTTATTTCACCAGGAAAGAATGCATTTACCCAGAGGAAGCAGAAGTGCTAGAAAAATGAACAAAAGGCTAAGAGAGTAAGCTGACTCCACTAGCTTTATATTTCTGTGGGAGAAATTCACATAACTAAAGCAAACTCACACTGAGAAGTCAATGTTGTATAGAAGATAAGATTTAATACCTGAAGATGGCTTAGTAAACCAATCTGACACACCACCAATAAGGTCGAAGTGTATCCTTAGGATTCCATGTGCTGGCTAGTTCTGGACATATGACGCTTACCAAACTCACTGATGGACAAGAAGCTTCAAATATCATCAGGAGATCTCTCATCCATGAAAAGAATGCCAATAAAATTAATGGAAACAAACTTCCATGGTTGTAATTTCAGAGGAACTTCATGAGATGACATAAGAGAAGCTCCTGAAGCATAAAGCTGAGCCAGCCCAGTACAGCAACTTGGCATCCATGTTCCGTGGAGTATTATTCTTTGGTTAAACACCCATATAAATGCACAATTACAACCATTTCATGATAATATCCTCCTTGGGCTTGCAAGTTGGCGTACTTTTCCTGCAGTTGAGCTCCATGATTATCACAAGAAGTGAACACCAAGATTCTTCAAATGGCAATTTCATAAAGCAGAGCAAAGGATCATGTGGTAGGTCATTCATTAGACAGATGAAGTAAGCCCCGCATTTGAAGGTAAGGATTCTCCAGGAGTTTTTCATTGTTGCTCTGCAAAGAACACCATATCCCAAATGGGAATCTGTTATTACAATTCGAACACCATAAACACTTCACGAGCACAGCTTTTACAAATGAATGTTCCGTACCAATTTTGCAATTATCTACAGAAACAGATTAGCTGTACATGCAACCTACAATTAGCATTTAGCTATACTTTTATATGACAGTCAACAGATTTAGCTGAAAATTGCTGCTGCCGCTGAAATGGTAATATGAATCAGGACACATAAAGTCAGCAATTTTACTGACGAAGTCATGTTTCACAAAGCAGATATAGGCGTCTCAGCCTTTCAGGGATACTTCATTTTAAAAAAATATCTGGTGGGAAAGCAACCAAACATCAGACCTACAGATACTAGCTACAAGAAACATTGCGGTCCAAGTGACATCAAGAACCAGCAATTCAAGACATTTGATGGAGTTGCCAGTAGATGCAACTAGTGAATGCAGCTTCCACCAAAATCAATGATAGAACCAGAATATGTCATGATGAGGTCTGGAAACAAATTTTTGCAAGATACTGGTATTCATCATCAAGTGCACACATGGACGGAGGACAACTAACACAAACACCAGTCCCATAAATTTTCTAACAAAGAAGGTAACAAAAAGGGGACCGCACCTGCTGAGCTCTAGAAACAAGGTTATGCAGCATGCGTTGGTAATTTTCTGGTTCCTCTGTCATCATCCTCTGCAAAATGCCAATTTCAGATTACTTCATATTGTAGAGGGACATATCATTGCCAAAGATCAGGAAAACAACAAGAAACTTGCCTTCAGAAGAAACATTGAAGAGTAATATGCCACTCTTGAGTCTGTATCATCCAACAACTCCCTGCGAAATACCCATATGTGCAAAATTGTTTATGAACCTAAATTAACTCAAATATACTTATTTGGAGAAAAAACAAATGTAGAAATCACCTAAAGAATTCCTCCCCACCAACTTCTTTAAAAGCCGCAGGATCTGCTGTGCATTTACCAATTAAAAGTAGGAGAAGTGTGGCTCGTATGTCAGAGGTCGAACCAGGAACATTTCCTCTTCCTTTGCTTCCAACAGAAACACCTAATGCGATATTATCAGTCGCAGCACCAGCAAGTTGGATTAGCGGCCAATAAAATAAAGCAGCAGGAACACGTGCGACCAATTGCATAGGAACAATGGCCTGTCCATGGAGAAGCAGTGCCGCCATGGATGCAGTTTCTGGTTTTGGAGGATCCTTGTTGAGTTTGTGGTTAGTATCTTCAATGTGTTCCTCCCAGCCAAAGTTCTCCTGCCGAGAGAAGCTTTCTCCTGGACCAAGCTTCTTATTCCAGCTGACATCTTTGATACAGGTCGTAGGATCATCCATAGATGTCACAGTTGAAGGGAGGACTTTTAGGCACAGTTGAGAAAAAAGAATTTCACACATCTGTTAAAAGGTCAACAGAAATATGGAGTGAGACACGGAAACTGACTATTAAGACACGGGTAATTAACAGCAAGAAGATACAACCACTTGTGGTGAAATAAGTTAACAGAACTACTAAACACCCACTGTATCCCGATTGGTAAGTACATTGGCATTTCCTAAGATGATCACTCTATGGGCAGTGCAACCCTAAACAATAGACAAAATAGGCTGGATCTTGCACTGATAAAGATCATGACAATAAGTCCATAAGAGCAGAGTTATCCAAAATACTGTTGTGATTAAGGTTTGAAGTTCTCTTTTTAAGGGATAGGAGCCAAATATTTACCGTTCCTAAAAAGTATAATACTATTGCTCTCTTCAACAGAAACAAGCATTACAGAGATATGCAAATGTAGCTCAAACTCATATATCTCTAAAGGTCAAATAACAAGGCATAAAGGTGCAAGTGTCATCTAACTCTTGGTCCACGATTTCCATCCTCTTAAGAACACCATGTCTGAAGCGTTTCAAGATTGAATTACTTTATTATTGTTATTATTATTATTACTATTTTACCAGAAAAGGACAGAAGAAATCACCTTTAATATATTCATGCGGTCCGTTTCATTAATCTGGGCCATCAGGCACAAGGCGCTATTCATGATGTCAATGACTGCATTCGCTTTTTCGAGACGACTTTTATTATGCAGATCTCCAACTGTTTCACCACTAATTGCATGTTGGACTTCACTTTCATCTAATAAAAACTTGCAACGCATAAGAAGCCTCTCTAAAACATATAAAAAGCCCCATCGAATGAGGTTATTTTTCGATTTTAGTAGCCCACACATGAGCCATATAGATAATGGGACATCTAAATCTGGTGAATAGTCAATAACACTGGCTAGAGAAATTTTGTCCTGCAAGCTTCTGATGCTTGACCATATACTAGCATCCCCTTCCTCGACAATTTCTGTGATGATCAAATCCCCCAGCCAAAGATAACCATTGTGACGACACAGAGTTCTTTCAGAATGAAGAAGAGAATGTAAGGTGGCCCAAGAGAGCTTTGCTTTCATGCCAAAACTGTTTCCATAAGCTCCATCAATACTTTCCAGCAATTTGCATGATTTAGTTATCTGCTTCATATGAGCAAATTCCTTATCTAGATGAGTAAATGACTTTATAAGCATCTCAAAATTCTCGACAATTTTTCCCAAGAACTGCAAATGAAACAAAGGTCAGACTTCAACAAGAAAGAAAAAATAATTCACTAAAAAAAGTCTCTGTGAATGGAAGCAAGGAGCATTATGTAGGCGTATAACAACATAAATAGAAGACAAAATAGTTATAACAGCCTTTAATTTCTTTGCAAAGTCGAGAAATCAAATTTATACACTCAAGTGAAAAGAAAATGACAGATTCAGAGATGCCCAACAATCCAAAAGGCTTTTCATTTGTGCCTTCAACTAGTTTATCAGCTCAGTTTAGCATGAACAAACACAAAATGTGGAATGTTGTTATGGAGTTTTTGCTATAAAGTACCCAAATATCAGGCTAGATCTACCAACACTAGTCCGAAACTCCTAGGACAAAGTCCAAAAACACCAGTTTTGCGACTTCTCTTCAAATGTTGGACCCAAGTAGGGTTGTGCATAATTTGGTAAATACCGAATTACTGTACCGAAACAGAAAATTTTGTATGTGGTATTCGGTACGGTATTTGGTTTAAGTTTTTTAAAAAAATTGGTATTAGGTATGATATTTGGTATTTTAAAATGAAACACCGTAATACCGATACCGTACCGAAATATATATTATATTACACAATACACATATTATTAATTATAACATAAATATAAAAATCTAAACTTTTACTTACCTTAATTTTCTAAGTTCATCAACTTACTCTAAGCAAGTAACAAGATATTTCTAATGATTAAATTTATTCCTTTATCTATAGTTTTCTCTCTCTGGGCTGATATTTGCTGGTTTTAAACAAAACTTTTGTCAACATACATTTTTAGTTTTGTGCTTTTGAGTACTTTAATTAAAAATATTACAGTCTATGACTCTATGCACTAGTTAATATTCAAACCGAAGTTACCGAACCAACTAAACCGAAACCGAAAGGAGAAAAATCGAACCATACCGAATTTAATTAGGTATGGTATTGGTATAGCATTTTAAGAAACCGTATACCGAGAATACCGAACCAAAATATTGAAATACCATACCGTACCGACCGACAAACACCCCTACAAACTATACGTAAGTATACCACAAAATTTCTCATAATTTAGAAATATTTTTATATTTTTGAATTCTTTTTAGCATGATCGCCACGCCGGTATCCGTACTAGGAACTATATCCCCAAATCTTAGAATTTACATCTCGAAGGATCCGACCTCTAGATCCACACCCGTATCCGAGCAACTTAGGTATTAGATACTTGGGAGTACCAAAATGGACAAGCCAAATGAATTAAAACGGTATTACAGGTCCAAATCCAGTATAAGAAAGACATCATTCTAGTGAACTCCAAGAAGAAAATTAGAAAAAAGGAGCCATCCCCTACCAACAGTAACAGATGTGTTGACTGCTTTACGAAGTTCAAAGCTGAGCAAGACGAAGACATTTTTATGTTGTGTAAGCTTGGTGCTATTACTTTGAATCAATTCTTAAATTGACCTTATCCCAATAAAAGTTTGAGATATTTCTTTGGTGTTTATATATTTAACTTTTCATGGAACAGATGCAAATATGTTATTTGAATCATCTAAGTATGCTTTTGGACAATTTTTTAGTTGAAATTGAAATAGAGTATTTGAAATTGAACATGAAAAAGGTTTGTGAAAATTTAAGTAGTGTTTGGACATGGACTTTCACTTGAAAAAATATTTGTGAAATTGAAAATTTGCAAGTGGAAGTTGAAGCTTTGAAAATTTTTCCTTAATTTCACCTTCAAACTACTATTTTAATACTTTACTTGAAGTTCAAGTAATATTTCACTTAAACATACGACTTCTTAGCCAGGCTATTATTTGCAAATTATTGTTTCAGTATTTGAAATATCGAAATAACTATCTCATGGTAAAAAGGAACAAGCATTTGAATGGCATATTTTAAGATATATATGATACTACATATAAATACCAGTTCCCATGTTGCTAATTTTCGAACATCCCGTGTCTTCTTTTTTCTTTTCTTTTTTTCTTTTTTGATAATGGTAACATTAACATTCCATGTCTTCTTTCTGACTCCACGTTGTACATAAAGTAGTGACTGCCTCCGTGTGACGTAAACTTTTTGGTTCATTCAGAGAGAGCAACAGTGACCAATCTTGAGGAAAAGGCAGCAAATAAAATAAAAATATCTTCAAAGAACAGCTTTTAATCGCATCATGAGGTAAATTTGCATGGTGCATTCCAGGGAAACATTTGCATATATTGTATTAGCTAATGGCTCTCTCTAATGGACTTGAAGGCGTTATTATAACCTAAGTTGCGCGGACTCTTCGATTTTGGTGTCGTCCCCGTCCCGATACGAGACGGGGACGGGATACGTCCCGGATTCGGTCAACTGACTTCGGACACTTTGACCGGAGTCCATCGACAAATTTGGGAGAAAATTTGAGATTTTGATTTCTCAAAATCAAAAATAAAACAGATTTAGGACAATAAAAGAACAATGTCCATCTTGGAGAATGAAAGATTGAATTCTACAATATTCATGTAAGTTTTTCACGGAATATCTCTCAAAATTTACAATATTTTTATAGCTCTATCTTTTATTAGCCGAGTTCCCGCACCCGTATCCATATCCGAATCCGCACCCCCAATCTTAAAATTTAGATTTTGCCGAATCCGATACTCGGATCCGTCCCCGTATCGGATACCCGCACCCGAGTCCGAGCAACTTAGATTGTAACGCTACTTATAGATTCTAAGACCCGATCCTTCTCTATTACCTACACAATACAGATGCATACATCACTAGACTTCCACTTGACACCTATTCTATGATAAATGGCTTGTCGCGCCCTGACATTATTAGTAAACAAATTCCGACCGAATTTCAGTTAAACTCCCCAAAAACTAATAAAAAGATGCAATGCGCAAAATTTTGAAACATCACTAAGTTTTCTTTCTATAGATTGTATCACTAGGTGACTATATGGTAGACACCCAAATCACACAAACTCATGCAAAATAACATGTCCATATGTAAGTTTTTGGCGAAACAACACCAGCTGGAGGAAAACCTGAAGAGATACAGAGACAAATATAAAATAGAAAATCTGGGTTACTGCGAGGCCATTATCATCTTGAATAATCACATCATTAGCCTAGAGTCTTAGATTAACTAAGATCATGAAACTTACACACAAATGGCAATAAATTTGAACAAGTAATGCCGACAAAAAAGTCAAGATGACTGAAAATAGGGGTAAAACAAACTTTTTGGTTCCTTCCCAGGACTAAGAAAAGAGAATAGAAGCTCAATGCATATGGAATCTTTATCTGTAATATATAATCGCCCTGGCATGGGGGGTATTGGATACGTGGAAATAAGATTGGAGTGCACATAGAGAATTAATACAGGTAACGAACAAGATTACATTAGAGACCATTTTGATTGCAGGGTAGGCAGGTGACTCTTCATCATACACACCTCGAAGAGGCTTAACAACCCCACAACCTCCTCCAAAAACCAAAAAGAAAGGCAACCATATAGAGAATTACTTTCACTGAGACGCAATCTCCCCTTGTATCTATATTTAGGCTATTAACTATGTGATTAATCACCAAGAAGCACAACCAAGTTACTTCTCATTAACACATCATATAATGAGAAGCATCAATCTTTTTACAGTTCATCACAAAGAAGCATGATTGGATAAGCTTTCTCAGATGTTTTCACCGCAAAAATGACACTATCATGTTTTGACGTCCAATGAGAATTAGCAAGAATGAAGTGAGCATTACCATAGCAAGTCGGTCAGAATTTGGATATTTGGACAATGTACTAGATATTGGGCGTTGCAGAAGCTCCAAGATGCCTTCCAATCCAAGCTTTACGGATATATGCAAAGCTTCAGGTGCATCTGCGAGCATAAGCAGCATAGCGACAGGTTGGACCTCATCATCACTGTAGTCTGAAGTTCCACTAGCTATGCATGACTCATTTATTTGATGCAAAGCATAATCAAAAAGCACCAGGTACAGATTCCTTCTTTCTTCCCTTGAGTTTGAAAGCACTAACTGCATAGGTCGAATAAACTTATCTTTAAGCAAAACCTATTTCTTTGTGAGACATACAAACAATCACAAGTGAGATTACTAGTTGAGCTGATACTGTAACTTTAAACATCAACCATCCCCCACCCAAAAAGAGGAACGAGAACAAATATAACATTCCCAACTGGAAAAGAAAATTACCATTCAACATAAGACTCCCTAATATTTGAATACATAAGACGCCCTCACATTAATATGATTTTCAATAACCCAGTTAAAGTATAACCAAACACCAACTCAGTAAACCAGAATATTTTTTGCTAACAGCTCATGATACAATTGGAATCTTTTCACAAACTCTGCTGGGTAAAAATCATTATCCTGCTCCAACTTTGCCTAAAAAATTATTAATTAAACACCCTTCCCCACCCCAGCTTAGATTATTCCAGCTATCACAGACGAAATCTCTTCAGAGATTCTGCACATCTTAAATAAATCTAAACAACTTATAGCACATAACTGGTCAGATACAAAGAAAGCTTCTACAGATAGTTTGACCTATAACTCTGGCTTGTACCAGAAAGGCAGAAACAACATACACTTGAATTTATACAATAGACACAATATGCCAAGCAAAAGCTATTCACATATGATGGAGTCCCAGTACAACTTTATCTCCATATGATTGGTACAAAATGCCAAGCAAAAGTCATTCCCATATTATGGACTCTTAATACAACTTTACCTCCATTGTCCCTAGAAACGTAGGTGAATTATAACCATGGTTAGGAAAGTACCTCTACAAATATGAATTCAATTCCACCGATAAGATCAACCTGCTGAATAAGAAATACAGGGGTAGCTGAAAGAGCTTTATTAGATAACTCAGGAATTTCATAAAACATGTTTGTTAGCATTCCGATAAGCTTGCTGTGAACTATTTCAGCCCAAGAGTTTATCCTGCTAACAGATATAAGTACCTGAACAACCTGCACGAGTATTTAGAAAAAAGTTAGAAACAAACATCAAGCACTTTTGAAGCTTAAATTTTTATCATAGAAACAGAAGTACAGGTGAGAAATATGAGTATTAAATGCACAACCGTCATTTCATTGGTCATATGGATATTCATTTAGGGATCACAAATTATAACAGTGGGTGTTGACACTCATATTTACCATTATATGAAGGGGAAAACTAAGAGACTAATTGAAACAAATAAGGCAGCACCTGAGGTCATTGAGGACAAAATACAATAAAATACTTAAGGTAAAAGCATCCAACTTATCCTGCATTTTCATGTGCTTATAATCTCTTCAGTTTACAGCCGAATAATATCTATATTTGTATAGATTCCTGTTAAAAAATAAATAAGACAAGAGTGGATTGAGAGAAAACTCAGCTTGATTATTCCCTCAAGCCATTGGGGTTTAAATAAGAAAGCGTACATATTCTAAGAAAAGATAGAGAATCAATCACAATCAATTTACAATCAAGCTATATACAAGATCCTAGAATATTTTAGAATATCTACGAGATTCTAACACAAGCTGATGCATATAAACCATATGTACCAAGCTTGTTACAAATGCAGCCGATATGAGAACCAGTGCGTTATTTGGTGAAAATGCCTGCACGCTGATCATTTGACTTCACGAATTTTGTAACAATATTTCCTGAGAGTATCTTCTCTCCGATGAAGTGACAATCGATCTCAACGTGTTTAGTTCTCTCAAGAAACACCGAATTTGATGCAACATGAAGAGCAGCTTGGTTATCGTCTCACAATCTCCATTTGACTCACAATCTCCATTTGACTAAATTCTTTAAACTTCAATGCTTTGAACACAAGTTTAATCCAAATCAATTCGCAAGTTGCCACAGCCATTGTGCGGTATTCAGCTTCCGCACTAGATCGAGCAACCACATTCTGTTTCTTTTCCAAAATACCAAATTACCTCCTACCAGAACGCAATATCCAGATGTAGACCGCCTATCGGAAGGTGATCATGCCCAATCAGCGTCTTTGTATCCAACATCTGCTCATGACCTCGGTCCTCAAAAAGCGATCCTTTGCCTGGGGCAGATTTTAAGTATTGAATAATACGAACAACTGCATTGCAGTGACTATCATACAGAGGATCCGTAAACTGACTTACAACACTCACAGGAAACGCAATGTCAGGTCGAGTCACAATGACATAGTTCAACTTACCAACTAGCTGCCTATACCTTCTAGGATTACTAAGGGGCTCCTCTTATCGTGGTAGCAGTTTAATATTCGGCTCCATAGGAGTGTCAATGGGTCTATAACCTGTCATACTTGTCTCCTGAAGATTGTCTAAGGCTTACTTACGCTGTGAGATGACAACACCTGATTTGGACTGCGCGGCCTTAATGCCTGGGAAATACTTCAATCTGCCCAGGTCATTCGTCTGGAAATGTTGAAGGAGATGTTGCTTTAATTTAATTATACCATCTTCATCATTGCCCGTGATAACTATATCATTAACATACACGACCAAGTAAACGCACAGATTATGAGCAATATGGCAATAGAATACAGAATGATCAGCCTCACTGCTAGTCTTACAAAATTCGTGAATGAGCATGCTGAACTTACCAAACCATGCTCGGGGAGACTGTTTGAAACCATATAGGGACCAGCACAACCGGCACATAAGACTACTAGATTTTCTCTGACCAACAAAACCAAGTGGTTGCTCATGGAGAAAACCATTCGTAAAGTCCAACTGACAAAGAGGCCAATGGAGAACAATAGTCATGGATAGAAAAAGACGGACATATGTTATTTTAGCTACGGGAGAAAAGTATCACCGTAATCAAACCCAAATACTGAGTATAAACTTTGGCAACAAGGCATGCTTTAAGTCGATCAATTGACCATCTGGACCAACTTTTACTGAATACACCCACCGACAACCAACGGTAGATTTACCTGGAGATAGATGAACAAGCTCCTAAGTGGCAAGTACCGCTAGCATGTAAAGCAGACATCTCTTCGATCATAGCATGTTGCCCTCCAAGATGAGATAACACTTCACCAGTGGACTTAGGGATAGAAATATAGGACAAAGATAACCCAAAGGCATAATGAGGTGATGATAAATGATGATAACTCAAACTAATGTACTAGGGGTTAGGATTAAGAATAAATCCAATACCTTTCCGGAGTGGGATTGGTGGACTAGCAGACAATTCCGCAAAAGGTGAAGGATCCGATACAGGACATAATGGTGGACGTTGACTGTGATGATAAGTCAGGAATAGTAAAGTGGTAGAAGATGGAACTAGAGATGTAGGTGGCAGAGCTGGAATAATAGGTGGTGGAGATGGAGTTGTAGGTGATGAAACCAGAGCTATTGGTGGTGGAGGCAAGGAGGAAGGTGAAGGAAATATAGTGACTGAATCACCAAAACATGAAACTGGTAACACCTCAGAAATGACCACCTAAACTTGTGAAGTATGATTTGTTTTCAAAGAAGGTGACATTAGGAGACATAAGGCACCGCTAGGAGGTCAGGTGAATAACATTGCTATCCCTTTTGCATCCTCGGGAAACCTAGAAATACACATATAAGAGCACAGGGAGCTAAGTTAACTTTTCGTGGAGTAAGGTTATGAACAAAGCACGTGCTCCCGAAGACATGAGGTGGAAGGGAGAACAAAGGTTAGTGGGAAAACAAGACAAAAAATGGAACTTGATTCTGGATAGCCAAGGATGGCATACAATTAATAAGATAACAAGCTGTGAGAACTGCATCCCCCAAAACGCAACCAATGATGAGATTGAATGATTACGGTACAAGCAGTCGCAATGAGATGCCTATTATTCCTTTCATCTACTCCATTTTGTTGAGATGTGTAGGGACAAGATATTTGATGAATGATCCCATGAGAATTCATGAACTATTGAAATGGAGAAGCCAAATACTCTAGGGCATTATCACTACAAAATGTGCAGATAGAAACCCCAAACTGATTTTGGATTTCAGTGTAGAATGTTGGAAAATAGAAAACAACTCAGATTGATTTTTCACCAAAAATATCCAAGTGCACCTGGAATAATTATCAATAAAACTAACAGAGTTACAGATTATCAAGGTAGAACTGACCCGACTAAGACCCCAAACATCTGAATTTGGACTAAAGTGAAAAGTGAATCTGCCAATTATCAAGACGTCGAGGGAAATGGAGCGAGTATGCTTACCGAGCTGACATGACTCACATTTTAGAGTGGACAAGCGAGACAAACGAGTACTATTTTCTGAAGTTCTGGTAAAGTGGGATATCCCAACTGTTTATGCAATAGAGCTGATAAATCAGTAACAGGACAAGTTGTTAAAGGAGGACAAGATCCGAGTCCATATAACATAGCAAAAATAAGGTAACAAAATCCATTTGATTCACCCACCAATATAATCTGCCCCATACTACGTTCCTGTATAAAAACAAAGTCATCAAGAAATAAAACAAAGCAGTTAAGTCATTTGGCTAAGCGACTAATTAGATATGAGATTAAAAGGACTACTTGAACATAAAGAACTAAATTCAAAGGCGAGAAAGTGAACTTGCTTGACCTATTTCAATTGCGATGGTTTGAGACTCATTGACCATTGTGACTGTTGGAAGAGATCGAGAATAGAAATAGTAGTGAAAATAGATTTATTACTAAAAAAGTGATCAGACGCTCCTGAATCAATAACCACTACTGGGCGAAGAAGTTTGAGAGACACAAGTTACGCTATTACTTATCTGAACAACAAAAGCTATCTCAGAGGATGTCTGCTTGTGTGCTTTATACCGAAGGAATTTAATGTAATCTGATAAAGAAATCATCCGACAATTCAAAGTGTTGGATTCTATTTTGGCGCAACCAAATTTCTCAAATCTAGGAAGCTGCCCAAATCAAGACAGAATCTGATAATTGTAGCCAAAAATCAAGGTCACAGTGGCTGAATAGTCACTAGAATATTTTGGAAGTAGCTAGAATTGCAAAAGATATGGTGTTTGAGCTCAGAATGGCTAGGCAATCCCAACAAGTAGGAACCAGCCTTGGAAATTTGCCGAGATAGTGAGTCGCACCCAAGAAGTCAAGGTCGGAACCTGAGAGTCGCAGGAAAATGGCTCACGTACCCGGCGCATGAGATAGATCTCGCCGCAGCTTTTCTCCTTTGTACGGCGCATGGAAGCGCGTGAGAGCTCCTTTTCCGGCTGGGATGACGGTGATTTTCTCGCCAAAGGAAGCTTGACCTGGTGATGGTGATGGTGTTGGTTTATGCACAGCGACTACAGAAATAGAGATAAGTTGGAACAGTACGTACAATTGCCGGAAAATTGCACGGTGATTCTCTAGAAATCGCTGGTAAATGTACAGCATGTTAGGAAATAAGACAAGGAAGAACTGATTGGGACAAACTCAGCTTGATTATTCTTCATGCCATTAGGGTTTAAATAGTAAGTGCACATATTCTAAGAAAGGAAAGAGAATCAATCAAATTCAAAATACAATCAAGCTATATTCTATTTACAAGATCCTAGAATATTCTAGAACATCTATGAGATTCTAACAATTCCAAAACTCATACTTTTGTTTATCTGATATTCCCTCTATTCCATTTATTGTGATACTATGTCTTATTAATTTGTTACAAAAAGATTAGAAACCATTTGACTTTAACCTTTTCATTTTACCCGTAATGACACGCTTTTATAGCCACAAAAGTCTTACGATATATTTAAGACCAACAGTTCCAAAAGGCTTTCTTTCTTTCTTAAACTCCTTGCACAATCAAACTACACTAGGTAAATTGAAACTGAGGGAGTAATTATTTTCCTTATTTCTTTCAAACAAATCAACTACATTTATCAATATCCTCTTTTTATAAACAACAAAGGCAGATAATGTGTTTGCCTCTCTAGCATTGCAACAACAACAACAACAAACCCAGTGTAATCTCACAAGTGGGGTATGGGAGGGTAGAGTGTACCAGGACCTTACCCCTATCTTGAGAGGATAGAGAGGTTATTTCCGACCCTCGGCTCAAGAAAAGATGAAAAAGAAGCAATAGCAACAACAACAATCAATAAACAACAACACAATAATAAATCAACCGAAGCGAAGGAAACAAGAATAGGAATAAAAATGAGAAAGAGAACCCTAGGTAGTAAAGGAAAACTAAGCGTAAGAATATACAAGAGCAATATCAACAGTACTGATATGTGAAAGAAATACGTTGCACTACCTACTATCCTTCTACCCTAATCCTCGACCTCCACACCCTCCTATCAAGGGTCATGTCCTCAGTAAGCTGAAGTTGCGCCCATGTCTTGCCTAATCACTTCCCGACAATACCTCCTTGGTCTATCTCTACCTCTCCTTATACCCTCTAAAGGCTAACCTCTCACATCTCCTCACTAGGGAAACTGTGTCCCTCCTCTTCATGTGCCCAAACCACCTTGAACTCACTTCCCGCATCTGCCACTCTACCTTCTCTCCCTAAATACCAAAATTGGTTCACCAGCTAGGGTTCGAACTCATGGAATTTATTGATAAATAATACTCCCTCCGTTCCAATTTATGTGAACCTGTTTGACTGGGCACGGAGTTTAAGAAAAAATAAAGACTTTTGGAATTTGTGGTCCTAAACAAGTCAAAATGGGGCCCTGAGTATTTGTGTGGTTATAAAAGCTTCTCATTAAGGGTAGAATTATAAGTTTAAACTAAATTGTTTCCAAATTTAGAAAGAGATCATTCTTTTTGCAACAGACCAAAAAGGAAATAGGTTCACATAAACTAGAACGGAGGGAGTATATTCAACTGATAAACATCATTTATCAGTCATATCAGAATACCTATTTCCTTTCCCTATGTTTAGTTGGTTCCGTCAATCAATAAGTTAAATGCCCCATTATACACACCTTCCCTCCATTTTCTGGAATATTATGGAAGTCCAATCAATCCTTTTTCTTTTATAATGGTATAAAGTCTTAAGTTAATGCTCAGCACCAAGATGGTACTGAAAAGGTTACACAAACTGGACTTGTCCAGATTACATGACAAAAGACTCTAGCAAGTCAGGAAAATCAAACACATCAGTATTCTCCATGAAAAGGAAAGTGAGTAAGAAATGTCAACAATAACAAGCCAAGGTAAAGACTCACCAAGAAATGTCAACAATAACAAGCCAAGGTAAAGACTCACCCTTATGTCAAGACCTTTAAGTCTCCTCCTCCTTATTCTGCCTCTATCACAGACAAAATATAATAAACAACTCAGAGCAGAAGCCCAGATGGATTCTTCCATTTCTTCTATCTGTACATCACAGTGTAAATAGACTTAGAACGAGAATAGCAATTAGCACTTAAGTAACATCATCGTACAATGCTATTAATTAAAGATAAATGAGCTCAAAGAATGAGAATAAGTGAGAAGCAGGAGATGATGCTGGATCAAGGAACCATTGCTTTCAACCTAAAAAATCTGAGCATGAGAAGCACAGTTCCATCTACTAACGCGGTACAGGTGTTTATGAGCCCACGATTCCATGTTCATTATATCAGACACATTTGAAAGGAATTTGCAACATATTATCCTAAAAGGAAGAAATATATAAACAAAAAGAAAGTACTCCAATATGGAGAAACTTTCTTATTCCAGTTTGCCTCAGTGACGCGTTACGAATGAATGGAACATAACGCCTTTGAGGGGTTGAAACTTAAGTTACACAACTTGGAAGATTACTTTCTGTTAGTGCATTATTTTGGGGGCTGAAACATGCAATCCTGATGTCAGTGGATCTTGCCAAGTTTTAGAATAACCAGAGAGGTTGTTCAGTACACCAGATGGGATAAGCTAGAATGGCAATCCCTTCAGATTTTCAGATTGGATGGTAGGGAGGACATCACCGACCAAATTGGATTGCAGTCCAGTGTTTGGCAAACAGGTATAACAGGTAACCGTAAAATCAACTATATCTTCTCATTTCAATGTAAACTCCGAGGTTTTGCTAGTTTGGAAAAACGGAGTAAACTGCCCAATATGTCTCCAACTTATTCTTGAAGCAACCATTTTCTCCTCGCCTAGCATTTCGTTTATATTGCATCCTCAACTTATAAGATTTTGCCTTTAACTGGTCCTTCCAGCCATCGTTGGCCATATATATGGTGTTTCATCTATTTTGGGCTCCTACACTAATATTAATTCTATAACTGCTATCTTGCTCATGTGGGGATCCTGAATGAACATGCATAGATCATCTCCTTTTGTGGTTCACTCTACTGACATCATTCCCACTTTTATTATCCCTTTCCAGTACAGTAATGAAACAAGAACCTGGACATATGAGTAACACCTGATGCTTCACAAAGCTAAACATCGAACAAAATTTCTGTCCAAAAATGCAAAGGCAAAAAAGGAACAATAGACAAGCAGAAAATGAAAAGAACAAAAATAGAAGAACAGAAGCTATTCTTCATTGTTCAACCACAAAGCTGGCGGGCGCCCACTGAACCCCCTTCCCTCTGGGTCACAGCACTTTCTTAGACATCCTGATCCCTCCTCTCTCTTGACTTCTTTCACTAATCTGCAAATCCGTGACCTCCCAGAGTGGCTATGATTGTTTTGAACACAGATGATGAGGTAAATTTCTGTGGATCTCTTTTTCATTGTTGTTCCTTATTTACAATTGTTCTTCCTTTAATGTATTTTTTTCAGAATTAATTTATAAACAATAATTTTTCAACAACTACCCTTGTTAGCATCACATGCCATTATGTCATGCTGGATCCCAGCTTCAATTTGTCCACCAGCTGCCAGAAGGACATGGCAAACACCACTGATGAATTCAGGATGCAATGGCAACAAGGTCAGAGCCAAGGACAAAATTGTACCTTCAGGAATAATTTGGCAACCAATTAAGCAATTCACAAAACCCAAACTAACTCAAAAAATCAGGTGTAGGACTAAGCCAGTGAATCAGTACCCCAGCTCAGCATTGAGAACTTTCCAACTGAAGTCCAACGGCCTACTCAATAACTGACCAGTTATTCCTCAACATTAAAGGTTAAATCTTGATTCAGCTTAATCAAAGAACTTCTACCCTATTTTAACCTTTGGAGTGGACGGCAATTCAGAGTTGTGAGCCGCTCAAGCTATGTAACAATGCGTGCAAATCTCAATTATCAACATTTTATACTAAATTTCTTTTCTTTTTTATCTTTTTTTGAGAAGGTAAAATTTTATTAATACCAGTATCAAGAGAATACTACAGCAAGAAAAAAAAAACACTAGACTTGGTACATCAGATCTCTACAAAATCTAACAAGTCTAGCACATCCTGAAAATTAAAAACACAATTTCCACTCCTCCAATAGTACAGATTTTGAGTGCATCTAAATTTCAGAACATGAAATTGCTCCTTTTTGCCATCAAAACATCTCCTATTTCTCTCCATCCAAATTGTCCATGCATAGCATAATGGGACATTTATAATAAATTATGATAAAATAGAAGAACAAAAAATAAGATTCCGGGAAATCAAATCTTACAAAAATCTCTCTTTCCACATTGAGGCGCTTGATATAGAGGCAACCAAAAGAAATAACAAAAGAAGGGGACAAAATCAAATCTAAAACCAACATCCAGTAAAAGAAACTGTCGTTTCTTGTGCAACTCGGTCAAAATAAACATTAAAAATGATGACCAAGAAATTACACACATACACACACACACTCATGTACACACACGCACAGAGAGAGCTTTGACTGTTGGGCACAATTACCTGGACAAGATGAAGAAGGATCTCGTAGAGGATGCCTAAGATCCAACACTCAAACTTATCAATGGCTGAGGAATTTTTAACTTTCTTAAGATAATCTGATTTTTTATTTCCCTCCAAAGAAAGTTGAATTTCATTGTCCAAATAAGTTTCTTTACAATACTCTTCAATTGTCGAAGCATCATCTGTTGTTGGAGGCTCCAATAAATGAGCATGAACTCCAAGATTCAAAATCAAATCAAAGGCCCGAGTCTTTGATTCCAAACGAGAAGAAGTCATCATTTCCTACGGTTAATTTTCAGAAAAGTTAGTATACTGCATATCATCTACACAAAAGAGCGACCATCTAGAACAAGGCAGCACCTCAAGCATGGACAGGGCAAGAGGAGCAGCGGTCTCAGAATCCAAAACATACCTACAAAAGCACGATAAGAAAAGATTACCCTTGGGAAAAACTACCAAAATGGAACTAAAATCATTTGTCATGGAAATGTGAAGTTAATACACCACTAAACATAAAATGGTACTCTTAGACGTAACTCAGTACCACTGGCCTGCATGTCCCATAAGGTCCATATTAGGCCAATTTAGATCCATATTAGCTCTTCATAGAAAAGATCCATACCACGTCAAATAATTTATACTTGTCAAGTGTAAGATAAAAAGAAAAAGAAAAGAGAGATATCTGCAGCACTTGCATTATAAAAAAAGTTAATACTAAAATTAAACTACTGTTACAAGACAAGTAGGACTGTAAATTTGTCCTAGTCCAAAACCCATGGACATGAATGGCAAGGTACCGAATCATTGAAAGCTGCTGGCTACAGTCAAGGATCAGATTTCAAAATCAAGAAGCTGGAAGAGCGCATCCAATGTTGATACTCATAACACATAAGCATTTATGATATTGAGCATGCAGTAAAAATTATGCCAATGCCGTACTTTGATGTTTGAGAAGAAAGTGACTTTCTATGACAGAACTAATTCTACTTTGCTGCCGATTTGCAGTACTAAAGGTAAATCAAATTACCTTTAGGGGATAATATATAGAAATAAACAAGATTTAAGTTATGGTTGACACAATTTATTTTAAAAGTTGTAGATGCAGGGAAAGGAGCACATACATGTCAATTACAAGTTTGACAAGTACGCTGACAGCCACATCCATTGATGGCTTTCCACTGTTGTTACTTAGTTTAGATGAAACAGTCATCAGATAAGTATTTGGAGCAGAAGTCTCAGAGCATGCTGCAGCAATAACCTCGTACACCTCCATGGGATTCAGTCGCAGAGGCTGTTGTTCACTGAAAACAGTAAAATATTAGGAGTCAAGAGTGACACAAAGGGAGGAAATTAGGTAGTGGGAGATGGATGCATAACTAGAAGGAAAGCAACAATGAACATATTATTAAAGAAAGTAAACCCAACGACCAAACATATTAAAGAAGACCTACAACAAACTGATAAACCATGTTCTTGAAGAGAGAACATTTCTTCAAGTAGAAACAACTTTCAGTATCATATCTATCATCTCTGAAAATACTTTCTACCTGCAGACACACTTTGCCTCCTGTTATTTAAGAATCTCAATGAATAAATCCCCTGGTTTAGAAATCTTCTACCCTTGTGAGGATTTCAACATCAGCAATTTTCCCATTATTTTAACTTTTCCAGGTGATAAAAAGAGCGGAAAACCCCAAAAAGTAACTACGGGTACAATACAAGTATCCTCTGTTTTAGACTTTTAGTTTGCTAATTCATAGTGTATTTTGAAAAACGAGGACGAAGCACCCATGGCCATGTCAGGTCGATCGACACTGGTCTCGAGATAGACAAAGGATCAATTTAGCAAAGCTAAAGTTTGCACTTGTAAGACAAGGAAGAAGCAATGTGAAATTCGGCAAAATAATGGATATGAAGAGAAAAGACAGGATGTCATCTATCTTTGTTAATTGCTCATCAGCAGCTGAATAAGGAGCCCACACTTAGACTACGGTACAAATCGTATCTGTAAAGCAGGTAAATAGATAAGGTATTAGCTAGAAGTACTTTAAATTCATGGGGGGAGGGGGGGGGGGGGGGATTTATAAGATTCTAGTAAACCAGCCGTATAAACTAATATGACCGAAGATAGTCAACATGCGCTTTGGCCCAATTGGAGGCTACTTTCGTAATTGGGCACATACATGTGCAATTTGGCCAAGAATTGAAGACTATATTGTATTTGGTGGCTATACTTGTAATTCTTAGCTCCTTAGGTTAGTATAGGGGTATTTTAGTCATGTTAGCCAGATACCCACTCTAGTATAAATAGCCCTTAACGCTTTCATTTTAGGTTAGACATTTGATGATTGATAAGTTCTCTTTTGAGATGTGTAATGGTTGATTCCCATTGTTGATGTGTTCTTCAAGTGGAATCACACTTCCGCCTGAAGATATTCCTGTAGTTTAGGTTCACTTTGTTTTACAATTATTGGGTGATTGATTATATCAATTGTTTTGCAATTACTACTTTGTGGGGTCTATTCTCAAATTCTATCCTTTATCTTTAATTTATTGTATTCTCCATTTTAATTCGCACCATTGTGGTATCAGAGCTTGGATTAATGTTTGTTTCTGCATACACTGTCCAGGATTTGACTTGTCAAATCAGAAAATTGCAATATACCAAAAAAAAAAAAAAAACCTGAATTTCCACCAAAAAAAAAATAGAAATCGATATATGCGTTCTTTTGTTCTAAAGTAAATTTATCTATTTCTTCATATCTCCTTGTTGACCTTGATCTTCTAAACTAGTGAAGCTCACCTTTGTTTTACTGAAAGTTGAAGGGAATTCTGAGCTAATTAGATGAATTAAAAACAGAAATTCATCTTTGATTTCTGGGATTGGTTGAGTTTGAATCGACTTGAGGGTGTTATTGCTTTGTGGACTGAAATTTGTGTTAGTTGAAAGTGTGCTTCAGTTCAAAAACTGATTTGCTGCTGAAAATTGCTTGAGTTCTGCTGAGTTAGATGCTATTTTGAGACCCCTTGTGATGAAATATTCAGTTGGTATTGGCATAGCACCATATTTCTATATTGTTGAATGGAAGAAAACTGTTTAGTCTTTAGTATTTTTGCTGCTATAGTTATGCCATTTCAGTCCAGAATTCCTGCAGAGCTTTATACCAGAATTTGCATCAGTTAGCTGCAAATTTCTGCAGAGAAGGAACTCAATTTGGGACAGTATTTGACAGCAAATTTCTGCATTGTACATCAGTTCTCTGTGCACTAAGAATTCGAAATTCTGTACAGTGAGCAGTTGAAGTTTGCCACTGTTTGTGGTAAAGTTGAGTAAATTGATAGCTGAAATTCTCCTATTTTTTGCTGTACTTCTTAACTGCTTGTACTTTTCTATGTGTTCTTTACTGGTTTGGTAGAACTGGTTCATAGCTATTGAGAGTTTTGAAGTTTGGTTAACATCTGTTGTTTGCTTCTGAGTTTTGAGGTAAGATTCTTGAGATTGGACTGGTCTTGAGGTGAATGGAAACTAAAGTCTTACACCAGTTTGAGGAAGCTGCTGATTGCTACCAGTTTCTGTTTACTATTGAGCTTATTTCTAGGTAGATTTTGATTGAAATCCTTATAATTTGAGGTTCTGCAGTTTCAGATAAGTTCCTGCACTGTTCACCAGAAATTTCAGTTTGTTTGACTGCAGTTTTGTGCCCAGTTTCTGTCAATTTCTGATCAGAATCTAGCCAGAAAGTTTCACAGCAGTCTTGCAACTAATTTGTTTGAGTTTGGACCAAACTGAGTTGGAGAACAAGTGACAATTTCCCTGGCAGTTTGAGTGACAGTCTGCAAAATTCAGTTGTATTGATTGGGGGGCCTGCATTGTTTGCCTTCTAGTGGGAACTGATTGAAGATTAGTAGTGAATTCCAATAGGAATTTCATTTGTGTAATACTGCAAAATCTCTTACATCTGTGAGCTGTTGCAGTCGTGAGAACTTCCCAGAATTTCAGGTTGCACGGATTAATTTTCCTTACTTCAGTTTCTTCCTTATCTCTTAACCTTGCTAGAATACAACTTGGTATTTGATCCATACTAGCGTTAATCTAGTTTACTTTGAGTGCATATTGTATGTTGTGCTACTTCTATTGTGCTTTTCTCTTTATTTTGGTTGTGAATTAATTGGCTTGTATGTTTGCTTTGATTGTGCCTTTCTTTCATGTCAACATAACTTCCACTCAAGGTTTGAAGGTTGATGAAAAGCAACGCTTCTAGCTATGCGAAACTGAAACTTGAAGTCAAGAGTCTTTCCAATGACTCAATGGGAACTCTTGAACCTATTGTACTCCTAATGAAATAAATGAGAGAGAAAAGATAGGGATGAGTAAGGGAAAGAAAAGTGGCAATCCTAGAGAGGAAAAAGGAAAGCATGATTTGCAAAATGAGAGTGGATTGTCACAAGGAGAAAAAGCAAAAACTGAAAAGAAAAATGAAAAGAGTGAGGGAAAACAAGATGAGATAAGAGAAAAACAAGAGAGTGTGAGTGAGAGTATATCTTATTATAACTCTAATCTTTCTAACCTTCTTCCTTTAGTTGTTTGGATTCTTTTGTAGCTAATTGTGAAGATGAGCCAATTGAGGAGATAACATGGGAAGAACTTCATGACTTGGGCAATGCAAAAGAAGTTGAAGTTTCTTCTTCAAATAAGCAAGTGAGCTTAAATTTGGAAGACTAAGGTAAAGAGGTTTCTATAGTTGCTTATTAATGTGAATGATTCTCGCTTGTATCTTCTTGATGCATTTGTGAAAGATGAAGTTGAGAAAGGTGCTCTTTGTCTTTAAAAATGACAATCTTTCCTCGTTTGATGCATGCGATCTTAATGAAAATGCTACTTGTTTGAGCAATCTAACTTAAGGGTGTTAAACGGGCCGGGTCAGCCCGGTTCCGGACCGGCCCAGTTAAACCCGGAACCAGCCCGGACCGGTTAGAGGGGGCTGGGCTGGGCTGGGTAGGGGGTAGAGGGGGTTGGTCTGTTTAGGTTAGTGAAAACGGGTAACCGGCCCGGTTGAACCCGGTCCAGTGAACAGTAACCCTTACCGTGTTAACCGGCCCGGTTCAACGGCCAAAAATTTTTTTTTGTTTTGTTTTTTTTTTAATTTTCGAAATATGTGGGCCCCACTGACCTTTGGCAACTGTAAGACCTTGAATTGGTCCGTTGGCCAATGGAAATATTGCATAAATAGCCTTTTTTTTTAATTTTTAACCCTTTTTCAATTTACAAAACTAACCTTCTCTAAAACTATAAATACCCCCCCCCCCCTCTTCTTCATTTCTTCACTCAATACTCATTTCTCTCATTCTCCAATTTGCAAGACTTCAAGTCTCAATCTCAAATTCTCAATTCTCAAATCTTAAGTTAAATCATGCCTCGTACTTCTAGAGTGCGCTCATATGTTTGGCAACACTTTGAGGTGGTAGAAGAAAATGAAGAAGGTCAAAAATTAAAGTGCAAGAACTGTGGTCAAGTCTTAAAATTTCGTTCAGAGTGTGGCACAGGCAGTTTAAGGAGGCATATAAAGTATTGTCTTGAGCGTCCTCCGGAAATTCGTATTTAAGATTTTTCGACAATTTGTGTTATTTTAAAATTATTAGACGTATTTATGCTTAATGTTTTAGTTTGTTAGATTAATTTGAAGTATTATTAATTTACTATGCATGAAAATTTAGTTTTACTATTTTTTTGTTAATTTACTTTTAAAATGCAAACTTTAATTTTGAATTTTGAAATAAATGTAGTACTTGCAATTTATAAGTGCAATTTTTTCACATCTTCCTTGTATTCTTTAAATTAATACAAAGTATTAATATAACTTACAATAGTTATACAAAATTCCAAAAAAAAATTAAAAATACACTAAACCCGGCCCGGCCCGGCCCCCTCAACCCGTAACTCTTACGGTTCAATTTTTACCCGGATGAACCCGAACCTGTTAAGAACCAACCCGGAACCGCGGACCGTAACCCGTACGGGTCCAAAAAATAGAGGTCCGGCCCGGCCCACCCATTTAACACCCTTAATCTAACTCCTTTCTTTATTGTGAAGGGTATCAATGCAGAGTTTTCTTGTTCCTTTGAAGAGGAGAGTTGGCTAGGTATTTTGGCTAACATCTAAGTTACTCGGACACATGTGCGAGTGTCAAACACGGGTGCAGATCTAAAGGTCGGATCCTTCGAGATGTAAATTCTACGATTCGGGGATACGGATCCTAGTACGGATACGGGTGTCCTCCTAGTACGGATACGGGTGTCGGGATCTGGCTAAAAATAATTCAAAGAAAATAAAAATATATCTAGATTATGAGAAATATTGTGGAACACTTACGGATGGCTTGTAAAGCGTGGATTTCTTTTTTATTCTCAAGTTGTAGATAAGTAAAGGATTGATTTCCTAGATAAGGTATGCTATTTTCTTCAAATTTACCCTAATTTTGGTTCTGATTTCAGGAATCAAATTGTATCTCGTCTCGATTTTTTTTTGTCCGTCGCGGTCAAAGTACCCAAAATTGTTTGACCAGATCCGATACGAATTCCATACCCACACCCATATTAGTGCCATGTCGACATGGGTGTAGCTCATAAACTACCGTGTCGGAGCAACTTACGCTAACATAACCAAAATACTCCTATACCAACCTAAGGAGATAAGTATTACAAGTATAGCCACCAAACACAATGTAGTTTCAATTGTTGGCCAAATTGCAAATGTAGCCGCCCAATTACGAGGGTGGCCTCCAATTGGATCCAACGGCTTATTGGCTATCTTGGGACGTATCATCTCCTTTATCTTTCATTTATTGTAGTCCGCACTTTAATTCTCATAAACGAAATAGAATAAATTGGCCACCAAATTTGAAGAATCAATGGTTAGACATAAGAACTCAAGATCGTCTACAAATTGAAAAGTGTAAAATTTCTTGATCTCGCATTGAAAAAGTTGCTTATAGAGATAACTAAGCACTTGAATTATTTTAAAGAAAATGCCACACTTTTTTAGTAAGTAATGCCTCATGATATACCTGTAGTGTCGATACTGGAAAAGCGGCTTTGCACGGGGACGGAAAGTGCTCACTGGAGAATCCTCCCTGATTTATACATATATAAGGAAAGAAGAGTTAGTATTACAAAAATTAGAGCTTCACTGGTTTAGATTCATTACTTTGCATGACTTGAGATTATACTACTGCTCTTTTAGAGGTACATCGTTGAGATAAAGAAGGGTTGAAATAATACAGATTACGGAGTCCATTTTTCTACAACTTTAAGTAAAAGCTCCACATGCTTTTGTTCCTATATACTATTCAAGATATAATAGCATGTAAAAATAAGCACCAATGCTGAAACAAATAAAAATCAACTTGTACATCAGCTTGCACAAAGCACATCTAGCGTGAAAGAAGACATCGAATTCACTGGACAAAATGAATCTCCTTTCACTTCCATTAAGAATTTGAGATTGTTTTTATCATATTACAAAGCATCCTCAAGCAACATTAAGATGCAAAAATTCAAAAAGATATAGAAGAGAAACAGTGCCAGTTGAATTTACCATAGTTGTTGAGGCCCTGGTTTAGAACGTTTTAGAGCTGTTATTGCTCTTAAGTGGGCACGAGCAGACGCAGAATTGGTCACAGTCGTGAGCAGTGAAGGCTGTAAAAGTTGATCTAGATAAGGCATCTCCGTACTGCCAAAGATTTTCCAAGGCTCACCCTTCATTTTAGCTTCCATGTCACCAACAAGAAGAGCAGCTGCACCTACTTCGAGGAAATTATGTGCACTGACATCTTTGGGATTCAAAAGATGGTCACTGAAAGTTGAGGTTTCCATAATTAGTAAATGCCACGTTGAGTGAATAGAAATTGCAGACCGCTAGCAAACAAATTAACTACCTTATGGATAGAGATGGTGACGATTGTTGATCTCTGCACCAACGCCACTTGAAAACATCAAAAGCAGTGAATTCATGATCTTCCATTCTATTGATTTCTTCAGCAATAGGTGACTCTGAAGTTGAAACAGTAGACACATCTTTATTCTCCAATAATTCTTTACCATTTGCAGGGCTAAGTTGGGAGTTGAAGGATTTGCTCAATAAAGATGACAGCGTGGGAAGTGCTTGTCTTGATGCAGATGGTGCTCCAGCAAAAGCCGCTGGTTGAAATGACCGTTTTGGGATATATTGCGCGACTAGAGAACGAACATAATTTAAGGACTTCACAAGTGCTCCTGATGCATAACTTGAAACAGGCAAAGGTGATACAGTAGTTGATGTTGTAGATGCACCACTTTGTTGACTTAAAGAACGTGACCACGGAGCCAATTTTCGGTTGGGACCCACATCACATTCAGAAATGATGCTTACACAAAATCGGTCGATCTGTACCAATGTCTCCTCGCTGGGTTTATATCTGTAACAAACATAAAGCAGAGATGTAATGGTGAGAGATTTATGGTTTTTCATGGTAAGAGCAGTAAATGACCATAGTATTCAGCTGAAATTAGGATATTATAATTTATAAGCACGGTAAACATGAAAAGTCAGGATTGATTATGAGAGGAGACAATGTAAATACATCATCAGCGGGCTATAACTACTCTTCCTTGGATCTTTCGTATATTGTAATCACTTTAATTATCAGCGGGCTATATTGTAATCAGTTCCATAGGTCGCTCATTGTTTATCAATACAAGTTTAATTAAAGTGATTACAATATACGAAATTGGCTGAATCAGATCCAAGGAAGAGTAGTTATAGCCCGCTGATAATGTAATTACATTGTCTCCTCTCATATTTCGAATCCCAAATGTGTTGCAACCAAATTTACGCTTCACGCCGATGAGTAAATGTAATGTAGGTTATAGTAAGCTTATCGCTCCAAGGACTGAAACTATAGCATGACTTTTATAATGAATTTGTTTCTCATAGTTAATTCTTATAACCAGCAATCATTTCTTCATGTTATCTTTCAACTTTGTCAAATTCCCACATAGATGAATGATCATAAAAATGATCTTTTTCAGAAACTTTACTTCCATTTATATTTCTGTAATTCAAAAACCTTTACAACTGGTTGAGAACTGGAAGTTTGAAGCATCTATTTCCTGATTTATATGCTCTAAACCAAACAGGGAGTAAGGAGGTATGGGGTACACGGGGATGGAATATAACTTTCAAAAGGCTGCTACAGGAATGGAAATTCCAGAATAACAGAATTCTACATTACCTCAAATCAATTGAGAGGATTACAAGAAGGAGAAGATACTCTTACATGGAGTAAACATAGCAGTGAGATTTACACAATTAGCACAGAATCAGGAGTGATCTCAAATCAACTTATGGTCATGGAAGCATATTTGGAAAGTGATACTCCCTCTGTTAGGAGGGTGTGGAGGTCGAGGATTAGGGTAGAAGGTTAGTAGGTAGTTTCTTAGTTGCTCACCGATAGTCTTAGAAGCACGCATGTCCCTTCATATTCTTAGATTTGTATTGCATTACGGGTTTTTGTTCGCCTCAGATATTGTATTCCTTGTTGCTATTATTTGGTACTACTTATCCTTTATCTCCCTCTTTTTCTTCTCTCTTCCTTTCTTGCTTTTTCTTCTTCTTATTCTTCTTCTTCTTCACCCTTTCCGAGCCGAGGGTCTATTGGAAACAGCATCTCTACCTGCATTAGGTAGGGGTAAGGTCTGCATCCAAACTACCCTCCCCAGGCCCCACCTGTAGGGAACATACGGGGTTTGTTGTTGTTGTTGATACTCCCTCTGGAAGTGTTCCGGTTTATGTAAACCTATTTCCTTTTTGGTCTGTCCAACAAAAATGACTCATTTCTAAATTTGGAAACAATTTAACTTAAACTTCCAATTCTACCCATAATGAGAGACTTTTATAACCACACAAATACTCTGGCATGTTTAACACCACAAGTTTCAAAAGAATTATAGTCGTACAAATATTCTTACTTGTTTAGGACCACAAATTTCAAAAGTCTTTTTTTTCCTTAAACTCTGTGCTCAATCAAACAGGTTCACATAAATTGGAACGGATGGGAGTACCATACAAAGTGGCATGTCTCACTTGGCTAGTGGCTAATGAAGCAGTGCTCACTAGGAAAAATTAGGAAAAATTTAAGGAGAAGGGGAATGCCAATTTGCTTAAGATGTTATGTGTGGACAAGATGCAGAGACAATTTGCCATCTGTTTCTATGTTGTAGTGTGACTAGTCAGCTGTGGGAATTGTTTATCAATCTAAGGGTATTAGATGGATAATGCCAGGAAGAACTTCTGAACTTTTGTCTAGTTGGAACACAAAGGAAAGCTCTACTTCTAACAAGAACAAATGGAAGAATGTCCCAGCAGCTATTTGGTGGACTATTTGGACAAAAAAGGAATTCAAGGTGTTTTGAAGATACAAATAGCTCTACACAAAAGATCAAAATGAATTATACAACATGTCAACAACATACCAAGTGAAATCCCACAAGTGGGTTTGGGAAGGATAGTGCATACGCAGACCTTGGTCCTACCTTGTGTAGGTAGAAAGGTTGTTTCCGATACACCCTCGGCTCAAGGCAAGCATAGTCACAACAGTTTAGAGAAAGAAATACAATCTCGAAGAAGTCAATGGAAAAGAAGCAATAACAACAGCAAAGTAATCATAAAACCAAAGCAGAAACAACATCAATTAGTATAGATATCTAAGAATAAGGAAATACGAGAATAATACTACGAGTACCGGAATGGAAAGGAAACACGTTGGACTACCTACTAACCTTAATTCTCAACCTCCACACCATCCTATCCAGGGTTATGTCCTCGATAAGCTGAAGAAGTGTCATGTCAGGCCTAATCACTTCTCCTCAATATTTCTCCAGCCTACCTCTAATCAAGATGAATTATATTCTTCTTTTTAGTTTTTGGTATAAACAAGAATATGTAGATGATCAGGACTCAATCATAGAAGTTTTAGGCTCCTCGTAAGAACAAGGATTTTTGGCTTTTGCTTTTTGTTTTAGCCTATCAAGCTATAAATTTTAGTTCCAGTACAAACTCTGTGCTGATGATCTTTTATATATATATATATATATACACCTTCAAAATGAATAATCTTTAGAGCTTCACTCCATAGTTATTACTCCCTTTAGGGGTGATCACGGTTCAATTCGAGTCGGTGTTTCCCTAAAAAGAAATCAAATCAATTAAGTCAAGTTTCCAAATACTTGAACAAATCAAACCAAAATTAGTAGAAACTTCATCGGTTCAGTTTTTGATAGTTTTTTCGAGTTTTATTTATTCATTCTTTGGATTTTTTGATTTGTTGTCGATCTTTTTAAAAAAATTTGATAACACTATCCTCTGTAAAACTAGTCAGTTTGGTTCCCTTTTCGGTTAGTTTTTGCTTAAAACCAAAACAAATCAAACCAGATTTTGTTGGTTTTTTAAACTTAAGAATAAAAACAAATCAAATAAGAAATGTTGTTTTCTCCGGTTTGGTTTTCGGTTTTCCTTGAACACGCAATCCTTTCTCCATTTCAATTTATATAATCCTTTTTGCTTTCAGGAACATTCTTGAAATTCATTTTACCATTAAGCTCTTAATATTGATTTTTAATAAAGTAATTGTAAGATAGTTATGTGTAAATAGTCCTAGTCCCATTTGTAGTAGGAGTAGAAAATGTACTAGTCCCATATGTAGTTGGAGTAGAATATGTCCTAGTCCCATATGTAGTTGGAGTAGAATATGTGTTATATATAGGGCTCATTGTATCATTGTTAACAAAAATAGATTTTTCTCCCGTGCATTCTCACATGGTCAGAGCTTCAGTGAGAAAATTATCGTCGTGCGTCATTCCAGCAACATCCGGGAAGAAAGATCTCATCGCCGTGCAATTTTTCGGCAACTTCGCCTTGTTCCCAGTGTTCATCACTGCTTTAGTGGTACTGTGCATATACCAGTACCACCATCAGATCTGAAACCCTTGTGCGACCAAACTCCAGAAATTCTAGTCCCATCTGAACAGAAAAGTCAGTCACCACGCGTCTTTCCGGTTGACGACTCAAGATTGATTTGCGTTATCTCCTCATCGGTAAGTGTTGTGCGAGAACCAACACTACCGTCTTGTTCGGAAAAGTTAGGCGACAAAACCCCAGTCAATCGCTCTGGCAGAAAGTCACTTGTGCGCCTCCACGCGCCGCCAGAACTAGGGTTCTGCCGAGCTACAATAACTTTTCCGGCGAGTGAGCTATTCCAGCCACTTTTTGACAAAACTTTTTCAAGACAACTTACTCATCCAGTGATTCCGAGCCTGCCCATATAAATTACATCAAATTCTGACAACTTTTTTCAGGCGTGAACAGTGCACTTTTCCGGTGTGAACAGTGATTTCCGGGCGTGAACAGCAATTTCCAGAAAAGTTTCTGTTTTCTGGTGGTGTTTTAGAACCTATTTTGTAGTGTAGAATTTGACTTAGTCTCACTATTATCAAAATTTTCCGGCGACCTATCGGCTAACTTTTGTTTATCAGCAACCACCTTGTTTTGTTGCTCAGGGGAGTCTAGTGGCCTTGTATGTCGAATGATCAGATTGTAGACATGTTTACCAAGTCCCTCACTGGCCCTTCAATGAGTTACATATGTAACAAGCTCGGTACATATGATTTGTATGCACCGGCTTGAGGGGGAAGCTTAGATAGTTATGTGTAAATAGTCCTAGTCCCATTTGTAGTAGGAGTAGAATATGTCCTAGTCCCATATGTAGTTGGAGTAGAATACGTCCTAGTCCCATATGTAGTTGGAGTAGAATATGTATTATATATAGGGCTCATTGTATCATTGTTAAAAAAATAAATTTTTCTACCGTGCATTCTCACAGTAATAAATTTTATTAAAAATGATTGGGCAAAAAAACATGCATGTATATACGAGTGTAATAGGCTAATTTTTATACATGTTTTAGACATTGCTTTTCATATGCATATTAGATCAAATTGTAATATCAATTTTGGGCCTTACAAGCCTAATATTGATAATAGGATCTATGTAGTAGACATACTTTATGTTTTCATTATTTATTTTATATATAAAAACCAGCCCTAGGCACCTCACCTAGTGGATTTACTAAAAAAAAAAAGAAATATGGTTTTTACGAATGACGCGCACTAATTTATGCAATACTGTAACCTTATGGGCAAAGTTGCTCGACATGGGTTGCAGATGTCCGACACGGGTGCGGATCTAGAGGTCGGGTCCTTCGCGATGTAAATTCTATGATTCAGGGATACGAATCCTAATACGGATACAAGTGCGGCGATCCGACTAAAAAAATTCAAAAATATAAAATATTTCTAAATTATGAGAAATATTGTGGACTACTTACGTATAGCTTGTAAAATGTGGATAAGTAAATGATTG